TAAGACTGCAAAACCTGAAAACTAACTAAGCAGAAATCAGAGTGGTTCAGGGAAGCAGGGCAGGATGTAGGACGCCAGGGCTGTGGGCAGGGTATGGTAGTAGCGCATTACAACCTGGGAGAGTAGTTGTCCCAGGTAATCTTCTTGGGGGCAGAGGTAAGAAGAGCCCATTAGCAGTACATGCTAAGGAATGAAGTTTTTCCGTGTATTTCATTTCATACAGACAATGTTCTGAATGAAAGACCATATGATAGTGGTGATTTTACCAGGAATGTGCATATCCACTTGCCAAATAGCTGTAGATCTGAGAAGGTTCAAGGAGCCTAAACATGGACAGAACAGGGCTAAGAACGGCAGGCTAAGAACAGTAGAGCTCTACTTAAAAATGAACAAACAGAAGAAAAAAACCTAGTCTCTAAAACACACTGCAGAGGAAGAGAAAGAGCATCATTTTCCTGAAAAATTACAGAAAATGGATCTCACAAAATGATATACCACAAGAAGAAAATTTAGAAAAAACGTCTGCATCCTTAATAGGAAAGAAGATAGTATTACCTCCACAAAGCCTGCGTAGAGGATTACAAATCCAGAGTACATTGAGGTGGAAAGATAAGAGTGAGACAAAAGAGAGACAGGGGGAGATGAGAGAGGAGTGCAAATAAACACCAAAAATAAAAAGGGCAACATTTAAACCTGTACTCAAGTTTCAACAGCAAAATTTAGATGATAGAAATAAAAATACAGAGGATAAACTTTAGGAACTCTCCCAGAATGAAAAAAGTAACGATCAAAGAGAGAAAATTGTGAGGCAATCAACAAATATCTAATCTCATAATTATATGTATGTTTAAAAAGAAACAAGAAAAATGAAAATAAGAACAATAATTAAATAAGACATTCCGGAGAAAAATTAATAAAGAGAAACATATATATAGGCACATCCTGGTATCTTTTTTTAATTTTAAGAACAAAAGAAAAAAATCATATATGTACCAAGACAGTAAAACAAGTTTTTTTTAAAAAATTAAAATTAGGCTTCCTCAGACATAGCACAAAAAGCTAGAAAATAAAGGAGCATTAGGTACATAATAGAACTATTACCTAAGAATGTTGTACAATTTTTTGTGTGTAAAGTAAGCAGAAAAGCATGCCTAGATCCATACAGAAAATCACTGTCTGTGCTCTCTCTCCAAGAAAGTTATCGTAAAAAATATTCTGTTCATTGGAGAATTAAATCAAAATTTAGAAGTAAAACATGGGGAACCTGCAGTCCAAAAAAATTCCTGAACTTCCCTTATTCAGTTTAATCTCCCAAATCAGACAGCCAGGTGTTTTCTACATTGGCTGCTAGGGTCTAGATCTCCAGGTGAACCTAGGGGAACTGCTCTCGGTGCAACTCTGCAGCTTTGCCTCTGTCTTGGCACTGGACATCGGTTTATGCAACCACAATCAACCTCCACAATAAATATGGACTTTTGTCATGACTCATAATCCCTAAAACAATGTGTACTGCAGTACTCATCCAGAATTTGCTAACAATGGTTAAATCACTTGCTTGTGGGAACACTTTCCCAGAAGACCTCTTGAAGAAGTGTTTTCCTCCCACGAAAATACAGTACAAAATAATGACCAGATTAAATGACAAGGTACTTGAATGATGATTTTTCTATGCATTTAAAAGACACACACAATGACTCTATTTTTAATTGGAAAAGATTGATCTATCATAAAGCACATTATTGATCATTTTCAGTCTAGGCCCTGTTGATAATGTTCCTTCGTTATCTCAGCTTATAAAAAAGATGTAGAGAAATACTCTAAAATGGAAATAGTAGCCATCTCTCTTGGTACTAGAATTCGAGATGATGACATTTTTTCTTTGAAGTCTTCAATACTTTCTAAATTTTCTTCAGTGACTAAGTTTTAGCTGTATGATCATTAAATAAAAAGTTACTAAAATCCATATATATAATAAGTATGAACACAATATTATCACACTCGAGAACACACACAAAATTTTGTAGCAGTAGTTATAACCTGGTAAGACTCTGGGTAATGGTTTCTTTGTTTTAACAAGTGCACATTACTTTTATGATTAAAAAAGACTAACTTTATTAAGAGGAAAAAAATGTAAAAAAAGTTGGAGTCATTCAATACTTAATTTATGCATTTTAGAAGAAGGAAAGGTAAACATTGAGGAAGAGAACACCACCAATGCTATTACGGTAAAGAAAATATATTAAATACTTTTTGCTTTAAGGTGAAATTTCTATTCTCTTCTATTTATACCTCTCTTCCTTTACCCATAAATCTATTATTAAATTTGAGTTCTTAAAACTGACTCTGTGAGATGATGCCCATCTTATGCTTTAAATTTTATTCCTCAAGACTTTGCTGAAATATGTTGCTATAATGCTCCCACTCCCCCAGGGTGGCCAGATGTGTTAGTCAAATACTTTAGATTTGGATGCAGATTTGGAAAGACTTCTTTGTTCTACTGCATTGAAAGGTGATGATGCTAAATACTTTCATTTTCCTGCTCTTGAGTCATTTTTATCTTTGGCTTGTTAGTCCTTAAAACTTTTAGTCTTATAATTCCTCTACATCTGAGAAGGACTGAAATTCATAATGATTGGTATAAACAGACAAATACATTTGTCATAGACACTTACGCAACTCCATCAAGCATTTCATTGCAAAAGCAACATGACAAATGACATTTTAGTTTTAGATTCTACTAAAATTGCCAGACATCTTAGGATCACTTAATGACTGTCTAGAGGTCATAGTCCAAACAAGTAACTATTATGATAGCAGCAGAAATAGCTCTGAAATTCATATAGCTGCATTCATCCCCAGATAGCTGTACATATGACAATATAACAGTGGTTCTTACCTAAATTAATCATTTCTCTCCCGGTTACAACTTCCCAAAGTCTTCCTCTGTGCCCTTTTTCTTATACCTCCAAATGAAATGCAGCAGAGTAATAAAGAGAGAAGAAAAAAAATGCCAAGAAGTATCCCTGAGCATAGAAAGCAAATTCTCAAACTGACTTTGTTTCAAAGGCCTGGGTCTGTCCTTGGAAGCCTAACCAGTATGTTTGCATATGTTTGGGGACAACACATTGTTTAACCCTTGGAAGTACATGCTAGTTTGAAAATGGATTACCAAAACCCAAACTAAGATTCCTGATCTCACTTCATGTTCAACAAAGCAGTAGGTAAGAAAATATTTGGGAGAAATGATCAGTTTTAGAAAAATCTTTTTCTGGTGATCTGAGAAGAAAAGAGCAACCAAGGAGAGCAGACAGGGCGAATAACAAACCCAGACTGTACATGGTTTTTAACAGTGAACACAGAGGCTAAATATAATGCCTAATGCAGGGTGATTTCCTTGAATTGTCTCCACAACATCTCATCAATGACTTATTTGCACATAACATAAAGAATTAGAGACTCCTTGGAAAAAGAACACATTGGAAATATACCTTGACTACCAAATCATCGCACCCATAGGCCTGTTAACTCTAGCAAATAAATATGGGCAGAAATTGGTGAGATAATAAACAATCTTCAGTCTCAGACTACATGAATCTCTATACTGATTTACACTATGGAAACAGGGAAAGGCCTCTATCCCCTCTTTGCTTCTGTTGGCTGGGACAGAGCAGAACACACCAATATGTCCAGGCTCTGGCACAAGTATAGGAGTTATAGATCTGAATTTTTCAAATGCGTTATAAAATAATGTTGGAATTGCTTGAATTTCTGATAAAGATAAGAATTCCTTCTTCCTATTCTTCAGGTAGAAGTTCAGCCTTTCAGTTTCAAACTGAAAGTACAGTCTATCTCCACTGACACAGAAATCTCAAATTCTCCCCTGGCTGCAATTGTAACAGGGCTCCTTATCAGTTTTCCCAAGCCCTTTTTAAATATGGAAATAAGATACTTTATAGTCCAGATATTATCAAAGTCCTAACACTGTGCTAGCAGCTGTTGCCTAAGCCAACAATGCCTGTACTCTCTAGGTGTAATATTTAAGCTTCCAGATGATAACATAATTAGTGAGAATGAGTCTGTGAGAATTAGCCTACTATCCACATTACGAATTCAAAAAGAAGATTTCATTTTTTGTGCAAATAGTTTAATCTTGATTAATATTAATAGTGAATAATATCTAAAGACAAAAATGCAGAAAGAGGATCTAAATTTCTGAAAACATGTTAATAATATAAAGAAAAATAAAATGATCATTTTATGCTTTCTAAATTTCCATGTACCTTTCAGAACTAGCTATCTTATGAGTTGGATGTGACACTACTTCTACTGAGTGAAGATGAACATATCTATTTAGATTTAAAAGGTAAAAAGCAGTAAAAGGGAGGCAAGTCCAGTACTCTTCCAAAGACAGCCTTTCACATGACTCTTCCCTGGAGAAGCAAGCCAGTGTTGACAGTGCACATTACAGTGCATCATTCAGTGAAAGGAGAAATTCCCAGGCTCACAGAAAACCTATCTCAAAGTGGGGAGGCTTGTTTTTACTAGTTTTTCCACAGAATTGATCCAAATAAAAAGTTCTTTCTTTCTTCCTTTTGTTCACCAATGTGAATGACAGGTTAATCTGGGAACTGGGAAAGGAGAGTGTCTTCCTTTCACAGTTCACTCTCATAAAAAAATATTTCCTTTCTCACTGCAATGTTTGCTCTACCCCTCTCCACCTGCCATGTTCACTAACACAACATTTAAGATTCACCGATTACTATAGGGAAAATATCCTAAATAACTGAGTACTATTGCTGAAGTTTCCTTTTCCAAGAGCACTTCATTTTTTATTTATTTTTTTAATGATTTCCACTTATATTCTTGAATCAAATCTTCGTTAAAACTAAATTTGACAATATTCCAGTAGGAGCTCTTTTGCTACCTTCATCATTTGTTTTAAAACAGAATTCACAATTTAAAAGCAAAAGAAAATGAAAACTGAATAGTATGAAAATTACCTCATCCGATCCTTTCTTTTCTCCTGACTTGGAAGGCGAGTCACTGTTTTTCTCATTGGCATGCTATTAAAAAAGAAAAGAAAAGAAAAGATAACATTTAATAGAGGGAAGTGATACAGGATAATGCAATAGTGACTTTAATTCCAAAGGGCTAAATTTATAGACTGTTAAGAACAAGGACCCCTTTAATCTTCCTCCTGAGAGTGCTAATAAGTCTACAGCAATGAGGGTGGCTTTCAAAAATCAAGGGAAACTACAGACATTCATTTGGGATGTAGAAAGTCAGTCTGTAATTAACTAGACACAGATCTGATAGTGATGCCAAGGTAGCATCTCATCTACAAAATGCCTCATGGAATTTTAAAGCCCAAATTGCCAGCATAGGAGACATCTGGTTCCTCATGGAGATGAGATGTCTGAGGACCATGTTGAGCCTAAAGCTATACTTAAGCCTCAGGTCAGCAGGGACAAGAGGGAGGACCACAGCTTCCAAGTCAACCATCACCTCCAATGGCTCCTGGGAATTCTCTATAGTTCTTCTAAGTATTCACCCATGCAGAAAGATAAACCCTGAAGTGGAAAGACCATACCTACAACTTCCATTTACTATGGCTTTAGAATTTCATTATGTCCAGAAACAGAATTATCTTTCACACTAGGACACTGGGGATGAATGTAAGTATTTTTATAAAAGCATAAAAGCTTCAAGTAGCTTACATGCTCATTTCTTTTGATGATAAGATAAAATAAGCCATAAAGTTTATTAAATTTTTTTGAAAAGAGAATACAAAAATTCTTTCTTTCTTTTTTGCACATAGTAGGATGTACAAGAAAGTGGGAAGAGGGAGCCCAAATATAAGAAAATAAAAGCTCGTCATTGGGTTCAATCCCAATCACCTTCAGTTAAACCAAAACATAAAATCTCATTATGTTCTCTTGAGCAGAATCATAACCTAGATATGTAAGTCAATGAAATTATTCAAATTGAGAAGAATGGAAATCATAGTAATAGTAGTAGTAATAATTTATATCATTCTTTACTATTTACAAGGCACTTTCATATACATCCTTATTTGACAATAAAAGAGGCTCATATAATTTTTGTGGATGAATAAACTAATAATAAGAGTCATTTGGTGTGCTTTTCACAAAGACATATACCTAGTAAATGAGAAAAGTTCACAGAGCAGGTTTTCTGACTTCAAATTTGTTCTTTGTCACTAAATCATGCTAAATGGAATAATAATCTCTTTATTCATATCAACAGATATTTTAGTTAAAAAAAAACAAAAAAGCCAAGGAATATCAGATACATGGCTGAAATTTTTCAATCGTTCTTTATATGAAAAACTAGGAAGAAATCACTTTCATGAATGGAAAATTCTTCCCAACAAAGGACTCTCATGAATCAGTGGATGGAATCTATGAAAGAGCTGGCAGGCTGCACTAGCTTAGTGAATGAAGCCCTCTATGGGGCTTGTTTTACCTACATGTCCCAGTCAAGGGTTTGTTCGTCCACAGTTGAGAACAACCACTATTGAGTAATTAATGAATCTTAAAAAAAACAAACAAACAAAAAATCATTTAAAAGCCCACACATATCAGAGCAAGATGGGACTTGATAAGTTTTAGAATAACTTGGTAAGCAAAAGATTCTTAAAGGCCAGACAAGAGGGAAGAATTATACAACATTTGGAGATAGAATATGAGAGGGACAGATTTATAATGACAGAGATTTAGCTAATCTGTCTCCTTCTAGAACTTGTATATTTAGAACCATGATATCACATTCATTTATTATCTCCAATTCCATATTTTTGTCAGATTAGGTATATGTAACAACACACAATATCCACTGTTTTACTGAGTGTACTATTTAGAGTGACTCATTTACTTGTCAGGAGGTATTATTCCATTTTACAAATGAGAAACTTGAGACAATTTGCTCTTGTCTGGTACAAGGTTCCATGTTCTCCACAAAGTCTCACTCTGCTCCCTGCTCATGAGGCAAATATACTATAATATATTACCCTACTGTAAGTGCACAGCCTTTTTTTTCTTTTTTTTAAGTTTTCCTGGTGGTGGTTCAAAATTGCAATGCTCCAGATTAACCAGCACCATCAGTTACTTGCTTCCGCTGAAACGCTCAAAATCTCTCAAAATTATGTAGGTTCCAAATAACAATTTGAGAGGGGTAAATACATAATGAATACTTCTAAAAAGGTTGAGTTATAATGACAAATTATAAAAATTATGTATTATAAGAACTAGTATTTTGTGATTTCAAAAGAAATATTTGTTCTCAATAGAAAGATTTTTTTATAATACATGAAATAAATAAAAATCACATAAATAAAATGGCAACACTTTTTAGAAACTGTATAGATTATATTTTTCCAGTTTTGTTTTTTAGTCCGTCTTTTTATTATATTAAAATTGTTTAATATACAGAAAAGTTGAAAAGATAATACAATAGACGCCATAGTCCCACTACTTCAATAATTATTAACATTGTTGCCATATTTGCATGTACTTTAGACAGATCGATCTCTTTATACTTCTACATCTCTTTATACTTGTACCTACCTGCATTTGAAAGTAAATTGCAAATACTCTAAAACTGTACTCCTAAACATTTCACCAAGCATCTCAAATTGAGGACTTTTTCCTACATAACTCCAACACCATCAACACTTTAAGAGAATTAACAAGAATTATGAATGCCATTTACTTTCTGGTAAATAGCAACTTTATAAATGAACCATTGCCCTGACCATTTCTTGGGGCTTAGTCAATATTCAGCAGTCTATTAATAAGGTAAAATCGGTTAATGCCTTTTCACTGAGATAGATTCAATGTGCTTGATTTTTTAATTCATGGAATAATTAGGCACTTTTGACATAATCGAGCTGGTGTAATGAAATATTTGGGAAGGATATATGGTAAATTTGATCTGACTTAGGAACCTGCAGCAAGACTTTCTAAGAGCAAAGACAGAAAACTTCAACTACTACAGCTACCTGTAGCTGGTGGGGTGAGGAGAGGTGAGAAGAACGAGAAGGGAAAGATAGACAGATCAAGAAAGAGAACTGAGCCACAAACCTGATCATTCTGAGGACTTTTCTATATGAGGAAAAAGAAACTAACATGTTCTAATCACCTACTCTCTGTCAAGCCCAGTGCCAGGCATCTCTCCTGTATGGTCACCTTTACTCCCCATGGCAACTAGGGGTACACACTGTCGTCTCATTCTATGGCTAAAGAAATTGAGGATCTGAAAGGTGAGACCCTCCTCTGTCACAACACATATCAGGATTATAGTCTATCGACAGAGACTAGGCTACACTGGATCTGGTTAAAAGCTTGAGATTCACATCAAGAAAGTCTCAATCCAAGGCTCTAAAAGGAAAACCACCATGAAAAATCTCCCCCGACAAAATACAAAACCTTTCTATTCTAAAACTGGTTTGTTTTATAAAATTAATCAGACACACAATACTTATCAATTTCAACCTATATTAGCACCCAGAGATAAGGCCAAAGACAGAAAGAGCAGGAGGCCAGCCCTAAATCTGTACAAATTTCATTGGGAAGATGGGGCCACAGAAGGCCAGAAATGACCTGGAGCTAAGACGTAAAGGCAGTAAGGAGTTCAGAGGCAATGAGACAAATCGGATAAAGGGCTTTCCCTCTCTTTCCGCAAAAAGGAATAATCTTCCAAATATTTCCAGCCTGTGACATCACCACATATTTGGCAAGAACAGTTGTCCTTGTCCTCATTCTAGGCCACAACATTTATATGCTTAAAATCTTCTACCAGAGCAAACCCATAAACCTGTCAGGAAATCAATGAGAGCTAGGAGCAACAGGGCTTGGAGCCTGAGTTCTCACCCAGCTGAGGGCCTTCCAGCACTTGGGAACCCTTCCTGTTGTTAGCTAGATACACCCTGACACACACAGAGACAAAGGTATACTTCTCACAAAATCAGATAAGATACAATTGAACAAACTGCTACACATGTAAAAGAAGGCAAAAACACTGAGTTTCTCCAAGTCCAAGCCCAGCCATGAAAGTATCCAATGCTAGTGTGCTTCTGAAATGTCTTTGATTTAAAAAAAAAAAAAAATTCTAAAATTAAATTGAGGTGATGCTTGTACTACCTTGTGAATATATTTTTAAAAAATATTGAATTACATGGCTTAGTAGGTGAATTTATGGTCTGTGAAGTATATCTAAATAAAGTTGTTTAAAAAAACAGTAAAGGTTATTGGAAAACGACTTGAAAATTTTCTTTCTTCAACTTGGAGACGAGGCCATTGATATCAATTATTTGCATGTCCAACAACAGCTGTAGCAAAATCATGAAGCAATAAAAGGTTATCTTAATGCCCTCTGGACTTTCCTAGTGCACAGAGCTCAGCTCTCTCGCTGCACCACCAGTGCACCTACTGGAAAAGGCTTGTTTCAGGGCCTCGTAAGGATCAGAAAGCCTTTTATCAGCAGTGGTCCCATCCCTCAGTGCGGGCCGCAAGCACCTGGGGCACTTCTGGAAACACGCTCATGCGGGAAACCAGGGATTCGGAGTTAGTCTGTCTAGGGAAGGCCTAGGCTGTACATATTTTTTCTAAAATTCCCCAGCTGATCCTAATATGCAGCTAGGATTGGAAACCACTGGTTTTGAGGGATGATTTGTGGGCACCACAACCGGAAGTAGAGGTTTCTGCTTCTCAAATCAGTCCACTGAGTTGGTACCATGGGGGCTTCCCCTGGTCAAGCAGACTGGGGCAGCTCTGGGCTTCCTGGGTAAACTGAGTGCTCAACGGAAAAGCAAAGGGCCCCGTGTTCACACGAGCATTTCATGACTAATTCTGAGCCTTGTCCTGTGCATGGCACATTATATCTTCTTATCAGCACATAAGTCTCTATTTTCTTAGTAAGCAAACAAATTAGCACTTTATTGTAGACTCTTGCTTACTGATTACTTCATAAAGATATATTTTGCCTTCCCAACCTCGTGGTAAATTATGTATTTTTTTCTAGACCTGTGGTACAGGTGTGACAA